GGTATTTTTATGTTCGTTGACTGCATTTAAGAGAATTTGGCTGACCTTTCACTCTGTCACTCCCCTCATTGAACTACATCAGTGCATTGCTTAGATTGCACCTGCTTATGTTTCATTGCCCAAGCTGGTACTAATGAATATATGGATAAAAATATCTAAAAAAAAGATTAGACAGATTTTTAGTGGAAAATTAAGGATAGACATTATGCATGATTTAGATAAGCATGAGATAAGATGGGGGCGGAGAAAAATCAGCTATCTTGATTGTGATTTCATAGGGCGAACACTTTTATATTATAAATTGGCACTTTGATGATTCATAAATGACACCAGATGTCATCTAGAGCTGTTCAGAGTCGCTAAAGAAATCAGGTGGGAATATTAAATCTTTATTTAACTCTAATTCAGGCAAGATACATTGTACATACCATTTTCTGCTCTTTTACACTTGTATAAAACACATTTCATGTTTCCCTAAGAATTAAAATGATGTAAACAAGTTCAGAAAAGAAGTTAACAATCAAATAAAATGATATAGCAATTGTTTTGGAACAAATTATAAAAATTTTACCTGTAAGAAAATATCGAAGGCAAGAAACCATGTCAAACTAGCTGTACACCTGTGCAATATGTAAATATGTATTTGTTATAACCTTTTAAGTCTTGCATCTGTTCCTCCTCAAAACCCAATGGTGGGAGTTCCTGTTTTGGCTTTGCCATTTTTTTACTTCTGATCCTTTGGATTGTTCAAGTCTATGAATTTGAATATTATAAATCAAAAAACTTGAGGAGTTTGAAAGTATGTAAATTTGATTGATATTACATGACAATAATTTTACCATGCATTTGATATTCAATATTATTTCCAAAACATATATCCTTTTGCTTCTGGCCGACACATTTTGTATAAATTGTTGGTGTACTAACTCATGAATAAATCATGGGAGTGCAACTTTTGAAAGATTACAATAATGGTATATTACCTTGCAACTTGCAAGTCTGCTGCCTAATACACAATATTTATATTGACACTAAATTGCTTTTAAGCCTTGCAAAAGGCAATCAATTTGTAACTTAAGGTGGTCATTTTTTCTCTCCTCAAATGAGTTGATAATTAATTGGCATGTGCAATTTGTAGTGCTTGTCATTGCAAAAAATATTTCACCGCCTAGTCTTTTAAAGAAAGATTCAAACTACTAAATTATTGTTAAATGTTAACTCTTCCACTAATTTATGCATTTCTATTCTTCATTGTTTTTTTCCCCCACTACTTTGTTGCAAGTTTTTAAGAATACTTTTCTGTCTTAAAATTGTTTCAGATTTTTGAAGTGGGTGATATATCAATTTTGGATGACAAAAAAGATGTTGGTGCAAAAAATCTTCGCCAGCTTGCTGCTCTGTACTGTGGTGCTAATGCTGGATTTGAGGTATACTAAATAATGAGTTCATGGCACTTCATTTGGTTCTTTGCTCTTTGAATAAGTTCTTAAATTTCTCTGTATTTGATGTGTCACTATCATTTTTTTTTCCTGAAGTGCTTAGAATTTAAATTGGCTTTCTTTTTTATTCCAAGACAAATGCTAATAATTAGTATATGTTAGTTGGGGGAATTTGAACCCATGCCACCTTATTACTCCAATTCTTATGTTCCTCTCCCCAAACCACCTTAAACTGGCTTTATATATTTGCAACAAAAAATGATATCTAAAATAAATATTGCTAGTCTTCACAGTTAGAGTGTATTCTTTTCAGGCATGGTAAAAATAAATTGGATGATTGTATTTTAATTTCTATTCAATGATATGCAGATAATTCATGGCTTGGTCGACAGAGTAATGGAAAAGAACGGGGTTGCCTTTGTTTCACCTGGTGAAAAATCGGGGTATTATATTGAGCGGTCAGATGTAAGTGTATAACACTGCATGAGTTTTCTGTGTTTTATTTTCTCCTCTTTTTGCAAGGAAGATTTATTCTGCTTCTGATAAACGTTGTATGTTCTTCTCATTTACCTATTGAAGGAGCCTGAGTTTCTTGCTGGTAGACAAGCTAGAATCATTTACAAAGGAAAGCATATTGGTACTTTTGGCATTGTTCATCCAGAGGTACTACTTTTGATCACTAAAATTATGTCATCTTGTTTCAATATGGCCAATTGTCACTACATAATTTCACAATTCCTGTGTTCCTTTATTTTTGGTGGTATATTTTTTCGGTTGTCAAAACCAAATGTAAGTGGATTATTTTTTTGGATACTTAAAATGATTACGAAAGAGGGATCTGCAGAATGCAAATCAACTATTCCATATTTTTTATGTCGTGTGGGTTTTTATCACTGGCAATAAATTTATCTGTTCCACATGAACTTGGCACTGTTTTCGTCCTGTGATTTTCCATATATTCTTTCAAATCGAAGTACTTTGGAGTCGCATATAATAGATGATATTCATCTAAAACTAATAAGCCTGCTTGTAGGTATTGAACAACTTCGACATTCCTGATCCTTGCTCCTTTGTTGAACTGGACATCGAAAGTTTCCTATGAAGATTATTTGTATCAGCTAGTAAGTGTGTCTATCCAAAACTATTTCCTATTGTCAGTCTGTGACGATGCAGTTTGTATTTTCTCCATGTTGTTTATCGTGTCATTCACCCCTTTCCCTGACTGCGGCACCCCATCTCCTTCCTCAGATAATTTTGTTTAGGCTGATATTGATTTCTCTGTAGGTAGCCCACTTCCCTCCACGCGCTGTTGAATGTATTTATTCATCAAACTGGGAATCAAGATGCTCAACTGCTTACATTTAGAACTACACTTGCTGGGAAGCGGAATGTTTACTACCCTAAATTAGGGTTTTTTGTTGATTATATAGCTGTATCATTTTCCTAAGTTTCTCCGTTATTACGTGTGCAGAACATCAGAAGCTACGAATTGGCCAATAGGGATAATCTCTTCCGTAAATTGTAGTTATTTTTGAGACAGTTGATTTTGGCCTTAAAATCAAAACAGTAAGGGTATTGATTCGTTTGAAATTTTTGTTAATACAAAAGAGTAGTCACAAATACATGTCTACTTAGTCTGCCATCAATGTTTCAAGACTCTTGGATGTTTTATGTTCGATCTATATATCTATGTTGATGTGGCAAATCTTTAGCGTGTCCTAAAATGATGTTTATGGTTTACTAATGGGTAACTCATCCCATATTTTCTGTATATGATATACTTAATAAAGGATAACATCTTTTTAGGAAAAATATAGGATGAGTTACCCATTAGATATTTTACCCATAAAGATCAGTGACATGATAGTTATTCTAAAAAGATGCGCTCAAGTCCTTTTTATTTTTTAATAGAGACCCAAGAAGAATGAATGTTTATGGCGTAAATATCATTTCAGAAAGTATATGTCGGTGGTACTTTGGTGCTTGAAAATAAAGACATTATAAACAAGTCCTTGAAGGATATAATTGTTTTATGTTTGTAAATTTAATCACTTTAATTATTTTTTGTTTGTAAATTTAACCACTTAGTAATTCTATAATTTAATTTATATATTTTTATTTTATTTGGTACTAAAGTAACTTTCTATGCTTTTAAGGACTTTATTTTTTGAATTTTCATGATTTTAAAAGTGTCAACAACATACACTTTGATGAACTTAAATAGAATTTTATCCGAATGTATATATTTTGCTATTTACATTGTAACGTGTTTTAAGTATTTCGTTTCTAGTTTTAATTTCAAGCATAATCTTGAGCTTGTGTTGTAAGCATGTAATTGGAATAAATTTCTTGTCAATTTTATTTGTAAAATATTTTATTTAAAGATTCAATTAGTTTTGATATTATAACTTTTACTTTAAAATCGAACTAGACAGAAATGTAATTTTCCAAACAAAAAGTATGGGCTAACAAGAGCTTGCTGAGATTAATTTGTTTATAGGGACTTATAAAAGGAGAAATATGAATTATACTTTTTCCATAAAGCTAAGATTAGTTTATGCATTATTAAGATAAACTTTTAGAGAAGTTAAAAAAGAGTTTCCTCAAATTTACTTGTGTAAGTATGAAGCTTGAGAAAAACAATTCATTTTTTCTTTTCTTCTCATATAAATGTTTATTAAAACGTAAAACAAGACTTGAGTACATATTCCGTAACATTTATTTTTGGACAAATATTAAAGGATAAAAATTTCAAATTGGTAAAAAAATGGTTAACTAAACATTTAAGCTTGAGGATTTTGCATGTCTGAGGCACCAAGATCAAATCAAGTCATCAGGTGAGAGTTGCAACAGGTAGAAGAGGAATTTGCATGAGTCATGGCATGAGACAATAGTTGAGGAGCAAGTTTCAGGTTTTATGAATATGCAACAAACTGCAAAACCGACTATCACTACATCCTACAATCGTTGCTTCACATTTTTATTCAGCATTTGCACATAATATTCTGGTCTTTTATTGGAAATTGTTTTCAATATTTTATAAAAATGTAGAGAAAATAGGATAGGTTGTACCTTGTTCATTAATGCTTCCATTCTCAACAAACTATGAACAGTTTGATAGACAGGTCTTGCTTTGTTATGTCTCTTGCTTTTCCTACTATTGCCTTTATATAGTGTTACTGACTTCTAAGGTTTTATACCTTATTCTAAAGCCTTTTTTCTTTCACCATCACTTCGTCTTCACTATTTTCTCCTTTTCCTATCTCATGTTTGTAAAATTTTATATACAAATTTATTGTGCAAAATTTTTCTGCGTAACACTAATTAGAAGTCGAAGTATATCTCATCACAACTTTTACTGCCCGTCAGTTGAATTCACATACTTTACAATGACTAAGTGATGGAACTGATCAGCCCAGGAACTTATCATTTGGGCAGGTTAATTCTAACTCCTGAAAAAATTTGCTCCTTACCAATGTTATTCTTTGTAGTTCATTCCGTCATTTATTATAGAACAGCAACCAACTGCTAGTGGAACTGGACTAGTATGCATTTAGAAAGAGCAACATTAAGTTCTATTTCATACACTCATTTGGTAATCACTGAACAGTTTCAATATACACTGTATATAAATCACGCAAATTCAGTTTGTAATTAAATTTGTAAGAAATTTTAAGACTCATGAAATTTACCCACAATAATTTCAGCATTATAAGGGCAAATTCAACCAAATCGGCACAGAGAAAGACGAGTATACAGGCATAGTCCAGTCCAACTAGATTGATGTCAAAGACAATTTCACATACTCTTCATAACACTTGCGAATTCTTCAAGATTCTCTAATTTCAAGTTTGAGAGGCCTGCAAACACGAATGATCAGTTCAGAAATAATGATTTCAACCAGCAAAGCTAATGCAAGTTGCACTACAATGAACAGTATTTTGGTTACCTTTTGCAGAATTTATAGCAGATAGATCCATTTCTGTGCTGTAAATCTTTTTTATTTTCATTTGGTCAGTCTCTTCAATCATGCTGGAGTTTAGCTTTCCCATCTTCATTCCAAGTTCTGAGGCGGTGGTCATGATCTCTGTAGAAATTAATGGTGTAATTAAAGATCTGGCAACTTGTACACTTCATATAATATAAGCTATATTTTGACAATAATTTCATCCAGAAAATACAAAAAAATTCCGGGCTATGTTTACAAAAAATAATGCAGGACACAAGGGAAATGTTGTTGCCATTATTTTGGTTAAGATCTCCCTTCAAGTGATGAGGTTAACATCCCAGTCCATGACACCTATTGTGGTGCCCTCTAAATACTTCATGTGGTTTTTAAGAAGCTATAAGGAAATAAAGTAACCTTGCTTACAAATGTTAATCTGCCACACGTAAAATTCCATCAGATAACAATTGATGTGTAAAACTAAAAAAAAAGACGGATGTTATCATGAAAGTCCACCATTTGACAAAATGACAAGGGATGTAACTGAACAACAATAGAGAAACTATAGGAAATGCCCTTTCTGAAGATTCCCAAGAATTCCATGTGCTTTTGCTTCATCAAATTGCACACAAAAAGCAACATGCAGGTGTTGAAACACATAGATACAGTTTTAAAATGGAGTATCCCCTGGTTAAGTAAGATGGAAAGCATACGTTTGCTACCAAAATTAGTTTTCAGTGGAACACGATTGTATATGCTGAACCTCAAGATATGAACAAAAATATGGTGGAGGATCTCTTTAATTACCATGAAACATCTCATGCATAGAATTCTGCTCATATAATTGCACTGCTTCATTGATAAATCCAGCATTGACAGTAGACTTTCTTTCTAATGCTTGAATTTCTTGATTAAGCACTTCAGACTCCTTCCCCACCTGACAACATAATATCAAAATAAATTATACAAGAAGCAACAGAAGTATCAATTCTGCAAAAGAAAGAATTCAGCAATCAGCATCCTGATTACCTCAGTTAGTTTTTCTCTCAATGAATCTAACTGGGCATCTATTTCTGGATTAAAAGCAGCACCTGAATCAAGGCCATTCTCATTTGATTCATCCTGGAAGTACACATTCTTCCGAGGTCAGATAATCAACCAAGAATGAAAATACCAAGAAAGAAATATTTCTCAACTAGAACATACACTTTCCATATTGAATTTCCAAAATTACTTTTAAGAGAAAAAAATAGGAATAAAAAATTATATAAGTTTCTCCAAAAGTTAAAATTAACTCACACATAAGCTAATCCGTAGAAATTTTCTCTTATTAGTTTCTCCAAAATCATAATTTGAACCTATGCATAAGCTAGTTTTAGATTATAAAAAAAATTATTTCAATTTTCCTCCATAATTTTTTCTCTTAAAAAAGTCTTCGAAGAAGTTTATTGAAACAGAACTTTTATATCAAAGCAACATGAAATAATACAAAATAATTAATTAATTAAGAAGCAATTGGAGCATAACATACATTGTTTGGCATACGAAAACCTTGGGGAAGAGTAAAACAGTAACGAAGGATGTAACTCTCCCAAACATCAAGCTTTTTGCCCAAAACAAATTGAACCCTTTTCCGAACGCAATCGACACCCTTTTTCACAACACACCGGTTATCATCATCACACTATAATAATTAAATTAATTACACTAATTATTGTGTCCAACACCCAAAAATAAAAATAAAAAAGACTAACTTTTTTCAGATCCTGGGACCTTTGGGTGGCTTCGATGTTCAGCTTCGCTGATGCATCCCTACAAAAACACAGTCGCATAATTTCCACGAGCGTGTTTGAAAAAATTAGAAGAAAAAAAAGAGAAGAGAGGAAAGGGGGTGTTACTGGTAGAAGAAATCGAAAGCTTCGTGGAGAATATCATCGACGCTGTTGAGGACTTCGTTACAGAAGAGTTGGGGGTCGAGATTAAGAGCACCGAAAATGGCTTCACTCTCAGTCCCCTCCATTCCCGCCAAATTCCCAATTCGCTTTTCTAATCTTTTCGAAATCAAAGCTGATTCAGTTTTGAATGCTGTGTCTTTTATAAATGGACTTTTGTAATTTGTAGCAAAATGATCCCTTACTCGTATATATCTTTTTTTTTTTAAATATCTTTCAAAATTTTGTGGATATTGTTTTTAATTTTTGAAAATTATTTTTTATTTTTAAATATTAATAAAATTTTGTGTCACAGATTAAATGTGTTCAATTTACCTATTTTTAATAGTGAAATTATAATATATATTCTTAATAATATTAAAATTATTATATTTACAAAATAAATATAAATATAATTTCCATTCATCTTAAGTCTCAGACAAAATAAATATAAATATAATTGATAACACTTGTTTTAAGAAATAACAACAATAACAATTATATAGAAAACATATAAATTATTGTGTTTTAATAATTAAGTATTTAAAAAAATAACAATCATAAAAATTATATAGAAAAAATATGAACTATTGTGTTTTAGTTTTGTAAAAATAGAAAAATATTTAGTTATAGCCTACATCACAAATTAAAATGTTAAAATGATATAATATTTATTACTAAAATTTATCTTTATGTTATTATAATATGATGATACAATATATGTTGATATATTGTTAAAATATGTAGGTATAAATTATAATGAGATACTATATATTGTTGAATTTTATTTAAAATCAACATTAAAATTGTGGATAACTATATGTTAAATAAATTTATACTTTTATATATATATATATATATATTATATTTATAATGATATTTTTATATTTCACTGTAATAATTTAAATATGTATATTATTAAATTTGTATATTTTATTTAATTTTAATTGTGTGTCTATATATATATACATATTTTTAAAATATAATATATTATATTGTATAATTATATTATTATATTAAAAATAAAAACATTACTTTTAATATGAATAATATTTTTTTTGTTTGGAAAACTTAAAATGAGATATTTTAAATTATACAAAGTAAAAAGAAAAATAAATAAAATTATAGATATTAAGAAGACATTTAAACAAACTAAAATTTCAAAATCAAATGGCTTAATTGCACTTTTGGTCCTCCTAATTTAGTGTAGGAGTAATTTTGGTCCTCATAATTTGAATTGTTTAATTTTGGTCCATAAATTTAAATAATGGACAATTTTAGTCCCACAAACAATTTACCATCCAAAATTTAACAGACGTTAATGATGTGAATTTTATGCTAAATAAATATTTATATATCATTTAATTTCTTACGTGGCAAATTATTTAATATTTAAATTTTAAAAATTTTAAATTCAAATAACATTGAAAACAAAATGAAAAGGGTATTGATATCAATCGCAGTGAGAATTTTTCACTAAAATAATTTTTTTTTAATTTTTTTTTTTTGCATTTTGGATCTGACCATGGTGTAAAACTGGATCCAGAATGGCTCGTTCTCCTTTCGGAACAACCCGTTCTCCATGCAGCAGTTGTAGAAGGGCCCGTTCTCCTTTTAGAACGGGCCGTTCCGGATGCAGAAATACACACATGACACATGGATCAAAACGGTGTTCTGCTTGGACGTTCTAGTTTCAAAATTAACAGACTACGCGTGCAAGCAAAACGGCCCGTTCTGCTTGGAGAACAGGTCGTTCCAATTGTAACATTAACACACAACCTAAACTACAAATAGAAAAATAAAATTAAACACTACTTAAAACTCGATTCCCAGGGAACCGAATTCTGAGCAAAAAAACAAAACAAAAAAAAAATTGAAGTTCAGAATTCGGTTCCCGAGGAACCGAATTATAAGTGTAATCAGTAAAAAATGCTATTTCTGTAAATAAATTGGAACAGGTGCTGTTTTGGCAAAAAAAAAATTAAAAAAATTATTTCAGTAAAAATTTCTCGCAGTGATTGCTGGAAAAATATGATACTGATAGCAATCATGACGGAGATACTAGAGGAATACACGGCGTTGCTGGCGAGAGTGTTAATGAAGAAACAAAGAGAAGAGTACGGAAAGTGCTAGTAAAGAAACAAAAGAAAGAATACAGAAATGAAAAAACGAATTTAAATTTAAAATTTTTAAATTTTAAATATTAAATAATTTGACACGTAAGAAATTAAATAATTTTATCAATAAGCATACAACGACAAATTCTACTGCCTACATCAACATATTTCATAGCTCCCTGCATCCTATCAAAGGTTGTATTTTTCGAAGACAAAATCAACCCTAATTAAAACCATCGTTAACATCAACTGGAACTCCCTTATAAACAACAAGAACAATAAGTACAAGGTGTAAATAAAGAGCATGTAGGCACGATATTAATAACTGTATAACATTATATTATGCAAGGAAATGATATAAGACGACACGGCAGTAATTGTATAACATTTATTATATTATCGTAAAAAAAGTATTTGTACTTCTGTATATTTTAAGTAAAAAATATAAATAAAAATATTTGATTTTAAATATATGCTAATAGTTAACAATTAAAAAATATAAGCGATTTTGAGTAGTTAGGGAGAGAAAAAAATAAGGAAGTATTTTGGAAGTCAGAGTAAAACAATCAATGGAATGTGGACATAAAAAAAAACACATGGCCTTTATTAATAGTGTAAATTTATTATGAAATTATTTATTTTAAAATATATACTTTAAATTAGGTTTTGTATTTATTTTATTTCATAATTTAATTATATATGTTAATATTGATATATTGAATAGCCATACCACAACAAAATAAATTTTTAGTAGCATTTAATATGATTTTTAGTGGCAATAAAAATTGTTACAAAATCTTTTACTGACATTTCACATATTAGTCATTATATGTAGTGTCGCTAAAATATTTATCGGCAATTATTCTATATACGGGTAAAGACCCTCATAATGGTTGAAAAAAGTATATAACTTTTTGTGTCATTTGTTATTGGCATTTAAAATTGCCGCTAAAAGTTTAAGAAAAGATTTATAATACTCTTTAATTATCTTATTTTTAGTCGATATAGGACTTGTAAGATAAGTGTACAAATACTATTTAGTCACCTTATTTCTAATTGATGTGGGACTTAGAAGATGAAGGTTATCTTCTAAGTATATATTCTTTAATTTTTAATTATCTTATCTCCTAAATACCAACTTAGAATAGTAAATTATAGGTCTAACTCAACCTTATAAAACATACTTGTAAGGTGAGAATTATCATTCACTTATATACTCTTTAATTATTTTATTTCTAGTCGATGTGAGACTTAAGTTTTTTCAAACAAATAATTGTTGTTAATAGTAAATTTTGATGTGATGTAAATACATTTTTAGTGGCTATTATATAATAATCATTAATATTTTTATTAAACAATAAAATAGAGGTAATTAATTTATTGCCATTAAATAATTGTTGGTAATACTAAATTTTGTTGTAGTGTCAACAAAACTGATAATATTCTGTACCAATAATATTATTATAACAAAAATTGATATACTAAACTAAAACATCATATTGACCTAGTTCCATATATTTGGAATCTTTATCATGTCGATTTCAAATATAAATAAATATCTCGATTAATTTTTTTGAGTTGGGTAAGAATTAGGCTAGACATATCCCAACCCACACCTTACTCACCCCTACTTTTATGTGACGTACAACTATTATTGATTTTTTTTCCCTCACACAATGCTTTTTAAGGATAATTCATAATTTTGTAGGAATGAATAGTACATTTAGTCATTTTATATGTGCTAATAATTGAAAAAAAAAATTATTAAAAAATAGAGAAAAATAAATTTGTATTTTCACTACTTTGTATAATATTGGCTTGGACGATTTTAAATCTTAAAATTAGTTTTGATATAATTTTTTATCATGGGTTTGGGTTATGTTTTTTTTTTGTTCGTCTTTGGAGTATCCACCGCCGACAGCAGTGACTAATTTCCTCGCTACGTTGGAGGCACCTCAAAGGGTGGGATAGCTGGCCCCAAGATTTAACGCGGCTGTATACACAAGGCAGGATTCGAACCCCTGACCTTGCTTAAGCGTGGATCAACCCCTACCGCTGAACCACACGCTTGGGGTTGGGTTTGGGTTATGTTTCGGACCATCCCAACTTGTCACTCATTATTTTAAAATGTATAAATTTTTAGAATAATTGTATATCAATAATAAAATACTTTTTTAATAAATAATACTTTATATAACATTATATTATATTTATAATGACATTATTTATTTTAAAATATATATTATAAAAATATTCTTTAATTTATATTTTGTATCTTTTTTATTTTATAATTTAATTATGCATATATTAATATTGTTATACTGAGTTAAAACATTTGATTTACTAGGCCTCATCCCATATATTTCGAGTTAAGATTTAAATAAATAAACTCAATTAATTTTTTAGGTCAGATAAGGACAAGACTAAACCGCTCTCAACCCTTTTTTTTTCACCCCTAGCTAGATGATTGTGGTATTTGGGGGTGACATCATCACTTTTGCCACCACCATTCTTGTTATTGTTATCACGTGACAAGGATGGTAGCAACAACAATGACAATAATGGTGTTTGTGATAATTTTGTCAGTTGTAAAAACAACACAATATAATGATCCAATGGAAGAATATTTAAAATTAATTTTTAATCTTATAACTATTTTTGATTTATAATATAAAAACTATTATTTAGTCTTTTATTTTTCATAAAAAGATAAATTATCATTGGATACAATTCCTTTAGATTAAATTTAGGTTAAATTATATTTTTGGTCCCTTTATTTATTTTTATAATTCAATTTGGTTCTATTATTTTTAAATGGTTCAATTTGGTCTTCTAATTTTTTAAAAATGTTAAATGTTATCTTTTCATCCAAATAGACATAAATGACACTAATGAAATCGGACAAAAGAGTATCATTGAACATTTATTTTTAGAATTAGAAAACCAAATTAAATTATTTAAAAATAGTAGGACCAAATTGAGCATTCAAAAAATAAAGAGGCTGAATACAATAAAAAGAAATATCTAACATTCCAAATACTTTTTTTATTATTTTACATAGGTATAAGTTGTTTTGTTAATTATTATTCATTTTGGTCTCGCTATTTTTAAATTGTTCAACTTGGTTGTCAAAATTTTTTAAACTATTTAATGTTATTCTTTTGTCTAATTTCATTAATACTATTAGTGTCAATCTAAACAAACGAATATGGAACACTTTGTTTTAATATTAAAGGATCAAATTAAGTTGCTTAAAAATAATAAGAGAAAATTAAATATTAAAAATATATAGACTAAAAATAATATTTTAAAAATCAGACCGGTTATCAAAATTGGTTAGAGCCAGTAAATCAAAGGTTGAACCAATGATTCATTAATTGAACCATGACACAGTCTTTATTAATCTTTTTAAAAAAAAATATTCATATCATATGCATGCGTTTGTGTCTCTGTTTAATTTTTCTTTCTTTAAGACTGTTTATTCTCAATAGGTTATTTCTTATTTTGCATGCGTTTTTTTATTCTAGTGGCACTAAGGCGTGATTGCGGCCTAATAAAGCACACCCAGCGATGTCCTCCTGGGAGAACATTCATTTTTGTGACAAAAGAATAATATGGTTTTCCCTTTCTGTATCCAATGGTCTTATGTATGGTCCCTTCCTACAAGGACACACAAGAATTCGACAACTTATTACCGCTAGATTAACAATATTGATTGTGTAACTCTAGCAACATGATCAGCAGATCGCAGAGTAAGATCAGTGAAATATATGTGACAAAATGCTTTGCTTAATTGAACTTGAGAAAAACAACGTTTGTTATGTAACGAGCCCTATCAGGTGATACAGGAATATATAGGAAAAAGCAAATGCAACACCTAAGTATTTTTTCACCATGCATTACAATCAAACAAGGTTAACAAGTTCATTTATAGATGTTTCTAACTGAAAATACATGAATATATATGTTCCCCACGAACCTGACACAGTTTTCCATAAAATAACTTGCATTTTATTAATTCTTTCAAAACGAGGTACCGTGGAGCCATATACATGATACATCCAAAGTTTCTTATTTATTCACGCTATTTTCTAGTTGAAAATCGTAGACTAACATGACATACAACTTATCATATTTTTCCAGACACGTTGATCAAATCCTGATCACATACCTAAGGCTTAAGATGATATCATGATAGTTATACGTGAATTTTACATTTCTTATTTTGAGTTTATGTGCATCGATCAGTTGTTACTTGTTAGTGTTGGATTTAGATGAATCAAAACTTTAGTTTGTCCATGGAAGCCCGTTGATACGGGGAGGGGTAACTGTCCCAAGTCCAAGTCCGAAGGAAGTAGTGGACATAAACTATAACTGAAATCACTGACGTGGCACGCCCAGACTCTGCCACCTGGAAGACTCCAACTCCACCATGTTAAATAAGCCATGCAACCTCCAAGTTACACACACAACCGCTTTGGTTCCAATTTATTATAAAGCAAAACAGTTACCATCATTCCAACCACAACACAACGTCTTCTTCTTCTCCAACCTTTCGTTATTGTCTCAATGTTCCGCATAAGCAACACTGTGGTGGGCGCCCTGAACGTGCTCTCGCTCCTGATGGGCGTGGCCGCCGTGGGAGGCGCGGCGTACATCCTGGTGCGCGGCGGCAGCGAGTGCCAGAAGGTGGTGCAGTACCCGCTGCTGATGGGCGGCGTGTTCGTGGTGGTGGTGTCGGCGCTGGGAATCGCGGGGTCCCTGTGGCGCGTGAACGTGGCGCTCTACGCCTACCTCTTGGTGACGTTCCTTCTCATCGTGGGGCTGGCGTTCTTCACTGTCTTCGCGCTCTTCGTCACCAACCGCAAGGTGGCCCAGCAGATCTCCGGCAAGGGCTACGGCGAGTACAGGGTGGCCGATTTCTCCCACTGGCTCCAGCGCTACGTCGTCAACAACAGGAACTGGGACGAGGTGAAGAGTTGCTTGGTCGACGCACACGTCTGTCAGAACCTCGCCCTCAACGGTGGCCGCAACAACGACTCTCTCATCTTCAAACACTTATCCACCACCCAGGTTATCCCTCATTTCTTCTTCTTTTACTCTTTCTTCTTGTCCTCTCACTCCATATTATAACTCTTTCTGTTTTTCTACACAACCAGAGATTAAGAATGTATTTGAAAATTCGTTTGAATGGTGTTGCACCAAAGTTTCTCATATGCTAATGCACAAACAGAAAAGTAACAATGTGTGTTAGATTAAGTTGAACTTGATTTCAGTGGATGAAACTGAAAACCAAGCACACTAATTTTAGTCTATTGTGATTGTCATTGACCTAATGAGATTTTTACAAAATGAGAGACTAATCTTACCCATTATTATGATTGTTATAGATTGAATAAATTTTTGTACACAATTAAAGATTAATCTCAGTCAGTACCATGACCATCACTAACTCTTCACGAAACACACGAATTTTCTATGGAATATAGGTTGTAACCGTAATGTGTCATGGTGCTTAATTATTACGTCAATCATTTTGGTACTAAATAGATTGTCACTGTAATGTGTCATGGGACCTAGACCTAGTTATTACGGTAACAAGAGGTAAGAATTACTTAACTTTTTTTTATTCCCCTTATTTTTTACAGTCTGGGTGCTGTAAGCCACCGGTGTATTGTGGATTCATAATGAAGAATGGTACGTTCTGGGAGGTGCCGAAGACGGGTCATGTTGCGAATAATTCTGACTGCGGCACTTGGAGTAATAAGCAGGAGAAACTGTGCTACGATTGTAATTCATGCAAAGGTGGAGTTCTGGCCAACATAAGGAACCAGTGGAGACGTCTCACCATATTCAACGCATGTGTGCTTGCGCTCGTCACTGCCATTTACGCTTTGGGTTGCTACGCCATCAGGAACAACAGATCGGACTCGCGCTGCAATAGCCGCAAACCCTGCCCTTGATACCATGCATTCAATACTAGCTTAGTTTCTCTTGATCAATGTCTGTGTAGCTTAATTTTAATTATGTTTCAACTTTGCTCATCTTTTCGCTTCTTTCCTGTGTACTGTGGTTGTGTCATGTGTGCTTTTGTATATATGTTGGATCTAGTCTCTAATTAATCATTTTCTTACCAATGTTGCCCATTTAACGTTTCTTCAATTATTGTTCAACTTCCAATAATAACCGGCGTGTATTAATATTATTATTACCACAGGGGCAGAGACACTTCATGCCTCTAATAATTATTTATTAATAAAATATTAAAAAATTATGTATAATTATTTAAACAAAATTTAAGATTTTTTTAATATTTGGAGTATAATGGTCTATTTTTTAATAAAGACTAAAAAATAATTACATCTCTTATATCTCCTTTATAATAGTTATAGATTATTATTATTATTATTATTATTATTATTAAGGTTATTATTATTTTTTTTTTTAATATAATGTAGTCACAAAGTATTTTTTTTCTATTGGTTTATATAAAAGAGGTTATTTGTATTTGTATGTAGTAAAATGAAGTATTTAGAGTACATTTTCCTTTTTTATATGGCGGCGTTAAACCTTACAATTGATAATGTAAGATCCATTTCCACACACTCACAAACCTACCTCATTCAATCTTTAGAGTATTAAGTTCCAACTTTATTGATCTCCATAAAAGATTTGAACACGTGAATCTAATGCATACTAGTGTGCCATTAACAAATTATTTTAAAAGATTGAATTCATATTTGAAATACTACTTAAAATATAAAATTAATTTAAAACATTTGTTTTCATTAAAAATTTCTTTAATATATATACCGTATATTAATATTGTAAACAGGAATATGTAACTATTAAAATAACAAACCATGTGTAGTTCTTGCAATTTTATTTCATAATTTTAATTAAAAAAACGTGAAAAATATGTTTTAAAATTTATAAAAACTATTACTTTAACATTACAATGTATGTGATATATTTTTATATCATATAACTAAGAATTATAATAAATATAATTTTAAAATATATAAAGTATATTATAATTAAAATTTGTAATAATATATATATTTTTATTTTAGGATTATGATAACTCACTATAAAATAATTTTTATGTAGTGACATAATGTTTATTACTAAAAACTACGTTTAAATACACTATAAATATAATATATGTTAGTATATTATTGAAAGATATACGTATAGATTATAGTGACACATAATATATGTTGTTGAATTTTATTTAAAATCAATACTAAAATTGTTTAAATATATATTAAATAGATTTATACCTACATATTGTATTTATATGGACACTTTTTGTATTACTATATGAATTATTTCTTGTAGTAAATATATTATATTATGTTGTATGATTATTTTTTACTATTAAAACATTAAAAGAGATAAGAGATTAATTTTTTTTAATACATTTTAAATAAAAATAGTTAAAAACAATAGAATGAATATAAAAATACTCTTATATTAAAAACACAAGAATGAATATATAAATTATATTAAATTTTTTATAAATAAATATTTTAAAATATATAAATTATATCTTAGATTTAATATAAGTAGTTTATATTGCAACAAAAAATTACTTTTAGTTATTGATAATATATTTTAAAATATTAAAATTGCAATTTAAAAATAAACATGATAAACGAATTACATAAGAATTAATTCTTAAAACTACTTCTTTAAAAAAATAACTTTTAAAATTACTCTTGTATAAGATTATCAATCACGTTAAGATTATCATTCACGTTTAATGTATAAGAATTATTTTTTAAAAAAACATATAAAGGGGTTATTTATAGTTCTATACCAAGACACTTTTTCTTAATTTTTAAAAAAAAATTATTGCCGCACACTTGTGAAAAGGAAATGGGGGGAAATAGGAAACCGGGATTAGGCCAAAAAGTTGTTTTCATAAACTGTTTTCTTACGTCGCTGATTTCTGAAACAAGGCAGAAGAGAAAACCCTAATTTTTAGGCTATAAGTATAGATTCACCTTCCTTCAATTTCAAGTTGCCGGTTCTGATTGATTCATTGCATCTTTCTAATTAAGGAGATCATAATTCATAGCTGAGAGTTTGAGTGAAGAGAAACTTTAGTTCAGATCTTCGTTTCTCTTTCTTAACTGTGATTCCTTGGTTACAGATATGTGTTGGATCATACTTTACACCTTCTTTCATACTCATTTGTTTTAGTCTATATTTCATCAACACACGCACGATTAGGGATGGCAACGGGGCGGGGCGGGTACGGGTTTTATGATACCCGTCCCTGTCCCCGCGAGTCAAATCCATCCCCATCCCCGTCCCCGTACCCGCCGGGTATGTGGTTTTCATCCCCATCCCCGTCCCCGTCGGGTATCGAGTATACCCGTACCCGTCAATTTTTTTATTTTTTATTTTTTGTAAAAAAAATAATATTTTTAAATTATTTTTTTATTATATTATAATTATAATTAAGTTATTTTTCTATCTCATATTATAATAAATAATCACACAT